ATATAATATATAATATTATATATATAATATAATATATAATAATATATATGATAATATAATATATAATACATATACATATATATATATAATATCATATTTTCGTGATTCTGCAGTTGTGCAGCTGACATAACCAAGCAGCGCCCAGGGAAATCTTGCAACAGAGTTAACATTGCATCCTCACATTCGAATTTTGTACATGCAGTCGATTGGCTGGTTGTATAGGTGCATTTGTGTCATAAGCAACATGAAATAATCAATATAACATAAACGAACTGAAGAGGCAGCAAGGTGATCCATTGCAGACATATTGCGGAATTTATCAATTTCACATACCATTCATTAGTTGCCCTTACCTTCTGTGCCCGCAGATATACCAGTTGACGGATCGACGCTTTACCTGAAAGATACCGAAGGAAAGTTTATATATGTGCACGACTTGGACCAACCAATGTGGGTAAATTAGTGAAATCGATAAATACCCTGCCATTTTGCTTCAGACAGGATCCAGCTGAAGGTGTGCCAAAATTTGAGATAAATTCACGCAAGCTCCTCGCCTGTTACGCGGTGGAAACTGGAAAGTGTGTATTCTCGGATGAATTGCCAAAGGTATCGTGCTTATATCGATTTGAATCGCTTAAACTTTTTTCCACTATTTAAAATGGCTTTTTCAGCGAAAAGATGGTAACTTTTCACGCAGGTGACTATGTCCATTTTGAGGTTATCTGGTGTACACTAGCAGAGGTATTGGACCTTACTTCTTACGTAGCTCAGGTAGTAAATCAGTAATTGGATATTCACGTTCTTCAGACCCCCCTGGCGAACAATCGTGATAGTAGTCATTGAATTCGGCAAGCTGCAATACTCTGACTTGCTGAATTGTTCATGGTAAGTGAACGATACCTCATTGAACAAAGCATGCACGAATGAATATTGCGCAGGCGAATGTTGTACGACTGAGTGAGTAATGTTGCATTTTCGACGGATCGTAGAAAGTAGCTGGTCAAAAGTTTGAAGCAGTTTTATGTAGACTGTGCAAAATAACCTCACAAAAGCTGGGAACAATACAGTTTTGTGGGATGGAAGTTGTTCTAAATGCCAGGCGGTGGAATTAAAACCACTCTATTATCAAACCGCGCTTAGTTTAGAGAAATACAATTAAACTAAAAACGAACACGTAAAGTGGAGGGGATTTCTTGATCAATGGACAGTGAACATATTCCTAAAACCGGACATCCTAGCTTCCTCAGATACCAGCATCATAATTCCAGACATATCCTCAAATTCCGCAGATGTGAGATTTGGGTTTTCCAGATAATTAACCTCCTGAAAGGAGCGAATATCGTCGATAAAAACGACAGTTTATTAATAAATTCGGGTGAGAATGTCGCGACAACCAAAGGTTTATTAGGTATACCAGCAGTGTCCTTCACGATCCCTAAACAGTTTAACAATCTAGAGGAAAGACAATGAACAGCGTGGCTGAGTTTGTTGGCAATGGCTTTAAACTTCAAAGCCAAGTCATTGTTTGGTCTACCATGCCTCGTTTGCACTCTTCGCTTCGTACTGAGGTTCACTCTCAGATTTGCTGGTACCCAGAGTACATCAATGAAATTGTATACGGCCCCATTATTAGTCTTTTTAAGCCAGAAATAAGTCAGAGTTTTTACCCATTGTACCACTCTGTTAAGTTATATGATCTTCCAGCTCACCCCGTCATGTGGATATCTAGGCCACAAAAGGAAATTCATAATGCTGCGACTCACTAACTCGAATTATGTGATCTCAAGCATATCAACCGATATTTAGCTGTCGGTTGATGACAGCTTCTTTCAAGTTGTACTGCCCAAAGTTTCTGTTTCTGTGAGCAAGCGCAGTCTTCAGCACTCCGTCTTACGGGATTTTATTTGAATGTGCTCGATGTTTGGAAAAGAGGGAGAGAGACAAAGATTGAGACAGTGCCAATTAAGCTGGTAACTAGTTGGCGAACTAGGTCTCTTGGGTGACTTCGACAGATTTTGATCTTCAGCGGTTAGGAGCACCCAAGTTTTTAGTTAGGAATACAAGACAATAGACAGAATGCCCAAAACTACGCCGCCGCCTTCCGTTATTTCAGCCAGCCGAAAGAGAAGTATTTAATGAGAACCATATAGAGAGTCACTAAACGCAGATAAAGTCAATTTCTTTCCCTGTACTATCACTTCCGCAGTTGTTTTATGTCGTATACCATGCACACCAGATCTACCAACAGGGCGGACGAAGTGCTGGCAGCTGGCGTCCATCAGCCTGTGTGGATCGCGCAGCTGTCCGGCTACTCATGAGTAGTCGGATTTCTTACAAGCTTACGAGGCGCCCAACAAACTGAACCGAAACCACCGAATTACACTCATTTCCATACAAGTTTGGTTTAGACGGCAGGCTCATCTGGTAATGATCATAAACGAAAGATTCAGCTAGGTTCCAGGTGAGTCTCCTGCAAAGACAACTTGGTTTGCCAATGGGTGCATTTCGTTAAAAAGGTCCTCTTAGCTTGCTTCAAGTGTGGATGGGTGCTCTGAAGTCCTGTGGATTTCATACTTATGAAGAGTAGTAAGATCCCTTGGTTTACCATAAAACCCACCTGGTATCTAGTCGAATTCGCAACGAGCCGCAGTGTGTGTCATTACTAATGAAATGATGGGTTTAGACGAAACACACTACTCGTACTGTTGCTTAAGAATATCACAAACGAGAAATTTAGCTGACTTCCAAGGGAATCCTCAAAACCAAAGTGGCATGAAAATGAATGCATATGTCTAAACAGAGTTCACTCCTGATGTCTCGGATGTTACTGGAATGTTGTTGGCACATACGGTTAGAAAGAAATTCCCTACAGGCTTAATCGCAACAGAAGAAGCTTCTCGGTTTTGCGTGCCATTTTTACAGGAAGTAGCTCGTATTTGACCGTTTGGGACAAAACACGATCATCTCCTCATTAGCACAGCAGCCCATCATATTTGATGCTGCCGAATAGAGTATGTCAGACTGATTTCACTTCAGTATGACATTACTCGGTTTCGCAATGCTCAATGATGGTAACCTATACTGCACACAGTTTGGATGTTGGGAGCGGGGCTGACACCCATTTCCTCTTTGGCCTTTCAGGAGTCAGTTTGGACATCAATCCACATGAAAGTGCTTCGGATGTACAAAACTGTCCACCTCTATTCTATAATCTTGTTGCCTATATTGATGATGAGTGTCACAGCGCAGACGGACACTACTTAATGCACGGTAATCTTACTAGAATAATCCCGGTTATGAGGTTATAACTGGAAGTGAAAACCCCGTGCGAAGAAAGTCAAGTAGGACCCAACAGTGGGTTAATATATTTGATCATCAATCATATTTCACCCATTTGAAGCTCTGTACAGTTTTCCACCGTATTCAGTAGCGTTGATATACTTCCATCCACAGGACGTTGCCATCGAAAGATATTCTCGTGCCGTTCACTCCGAAGCGAAATATGTGATTGCCCACCCTATCATGCTATCTGAGGATGAGATTATTGGTAAGCCAAACTGCCAAACCCTGTAGAACATTAAGCTTCCACAAAAGTCACTCAATTTTAGAAAAACTTCTAGAATGTACTTTATTTTGTGTGGTCAGAATTCGGCCTCGCCGAGCCGAAGTACCATGAGGTCAATCCAATGGTGGTTATAAATTTAGCAAAGCCTTTCTGAGAACCAGAAATATGTGATCACTCAGTAAGCCCTCCGTGCTTGCTTTTAAGTGGCTTCGTAGTCCACTTACTATGCAGCCTTACGATTGCGGAACTGTTATGAACAGAATATTCGTTGTGCTGCCGAACATTAATGTGGACAGGATTCCCCTCCACGATGGGTCCAATTTATCTCGGTTCGGTATATTTTCTCGCTCGAGAACCGTGTGTGACCAAAGTGCACTAAGCCGTTTCTTCCCAAGTGTTTCTTCAGTGCTGGAGTTTTTTTGCATTAAACAGGCCGGTCATACTGAACGTTTTCGATGCTTGTACCAGCTGGTTTACAAAAGTTTACTTATCTTTCGGCGCTGAAACAAGGCTGTTCTAATCACAGCAGGATTGTCCTGATTGGGATGGAATGGACTATACAGTCGTTGAATAGTTTAAATAGTATAAAAGTACGTAATGGTGCACAGCACCACTAATCTCTGTGATATTAGTCATATTTTGCCACACAAAAACCAATTTTAGTGACCTTCCTCGGGTTATCGTAGTGTGATCACATTTTTGGGTCATATGTCGGTCATATGAGTATGATGGATAATCACATATGGACTAAGTAAGACAATCTCTAGAAAAAACAAAATAACCAAACCGAATTTCATAGAGTAGGCCATAAGAAATGATGAAATTATGAGTATGTGTTCATCCTGATTCACGGTATACAGCTGGTAGCCAGGAAAGCCACTGGGTTGAGCGTTTCTGGTCAGCGTTCAGCTGTCGAAACTTTTGGAAACTTCTACTGACACCAGAAGCCATTTCAAGAAACACCTCACTTTCTAATATCACTTTTGGATGCGCATACACCCGATGCAGTCAATACTAGTCATTGGTTATTTAATGATCTCAAAATGATTCGGAGACGACTGTGTTTTGCCGAGTTATCAGAGCTTATGTTTCAGCTGCTAACTATAGGAAAATGAACAAATCTGATGGTATTTCACACAATTTCAATTGCTTGGTAGGCTGTTTGGTAGATTCTAAACCGGGACATACAACGGGTATCACAAGTATAAAATCGCCTCGTCCAGATAAAGATGGCTTTGTGGAATAACCGCAATTTTTCGTCCAAAAATAGCACCTGTGCAGTCCAAACTGAAAGACGAGAAGCATTGTAGATGCTTGTTTTCTACTTCCCGTTCTACATGCATCTCTTCCCTAATTTTGCATCCTGGCTACTATAAATTGACCTGACCTTAGCTACACAGGCTTATACTGCGAAATGCCAGTTCTTTCTGAGTGTCGGTGACTTATAACTCAGTAAGCGTTGTAAAACCTCCGAAATGCAACTTTTCGTCGTTTTGGTAGGATTCATAGAAAACGCTTCCCGATAGAGCGAGATGCTTCGGAAGGGACGTCATTCCACTGTGGTATCCATGACAGTGTTTTCTGTCAGCTATGACATTTCACAATCTTTCAAATAATGGTGCCAAAAATATCTTTTCCCCTGATGTTTTGTCGTGAGGGAAGATATTTTGGGCCATATATGTGACGTCAGTCAAATCGAAGCTACAGTCTGTGTATTATAACAGTGTTTTTATATCCATAGAGATCATGACTAGTTGGAACTGAAAGCAAGAGTTAAAGGTGAAAAACCCCGTTGCGACACAAAAGTCCTGTGTGCTGCGACATACACCAGAGAACAGGTTTCTTGGAGCACAAACGGGAAGTGTGCTGGATTACGCCCGATTAACTCAACTCAGCTACTAGGTTTTCCAATGCACCATAAATACTATGTAATGGAACACTATGTTCCCTTTATTTATCCGTACTAGACGAGTGAGCTGAATTGTCGTGTGTTTTCTGTGATCACAGGAGTCATCGAAATATACCGTGCTGCTCCACGAAGACCATTCTCAGATGCAGAAAAGCAGGTAAGCTTCCTATACTTAACCTTGGTTTGTACGGATGTAGGCATTCAGAGCTGGTGTACGCATAAGTAATCAGCAGACCATATAATCATTAAATTCATGCCCGATTGGTTTGGGAGCGTTTCGCCTAACTATGGGAGTCTTTCCTACGTGAACACACTGAATGACAGTGTGTATATGCGCAGGTGAATATTGCTACGATTTATGTAAACAAGCACAAATTCTGACCGAAGTAGACGAAAGGAATGGTGGGTTATTTCTATCGATGACTGTCGTTTAAAGCCAACAAGTGCCCCTTGAATTCCTGAAGAGTTATGCAAGTTGTTCCTTTTCCTAGGCCATGCACTGTGAAGTGTGCAGCATCCTGTTTATTTCGTTGCCAGGGCAACTGTTATTAAGTCCTGCTATTGAGTTGCCTTCTGTTTCTTCTAAAGAACTGGTTCAAGCTGCTGCCTGCATCTTTGATACTTTGTTTACCACAACCATTTGGGTTAGCTTCTACCAAGCAGAAAATAGAAAGCGGAAGAAAATGCACCGATGGCCGAAGTTATTTTTGAAAAAAATTGACGGTCTGTGTTGCTATAATCTCGGTTCCAAATGCCACGGTTTAAAAATAATATGGTCGGTGGATTTACGGAGTTGAACTGCGTAACTCGGATGGCTAAACGGCTTCAGCAATGCTCAATCCAGAGTCAATAAACTAGGTTGTGGGAGGGAAGTAGTCACTGCGGTGCAAAACAGAAGTGTGTCGTCCTGGATTTGGTAGAAGCTTTACTCACCAAAGCCTCAGCTTCATTCACTCGCACTGCCTCACCGTCGACACTTTTTGTTTCGAAGACTCATTTCTCCAGTTCTAGCTCGAGCAGCTGTCTGTTTGGTAGAATTTGGCCTTATTTGAAAGTGAAATATTAAGACAGGATTTAGTATAGCATGTTAATTTTTTATGTATATTTCCCTCTGTATTTTCCAGTTGACCAAAAGTATTGTTCGCTGGGCACAACTCGTGTTGGCAAGCGATGAGGTATGCACACGAATGATTTCGTTCTGTCCGCGCTTCGTATGTGTTCATATACGTTACTCTATCTAACCGTGTGAAGTCTACTCTGAATGCCATTTATGCAGTTATCCAAGGAGTCCGGGGCGATCGGAAACAGTTAACTAGCTTATTCAGACTTGATTGATTTCGAGGTGAGAAAATAAATGCTAACGAATTGCCCAGTATGTGCAAACAGTTGAAACCCATGTTTACCTCTTAAACTTCGACTCCCGTGCACAGTAATGTCGAAATCCTTAACCGAATGAACTGACGAAGAGTTATAATATAGTGTTGTCTTTCTATCTGACGAGTGGGTTTCTAATTTCGTTTTAACAAGGGTGCAGTCGCAAGGCGGCCAGGCACAAAATGCACTATTTTATTTCACTCACCATCCTATTCGGATTTATGACCGTTGTATAATTTGTAACAGTGTTATGCTTATTTTTGCATATCATGAAGCGGTTTCTTGGACGGAGTGGCTCATTTATTAATTTCTGACACCAGAATCAGGTTGTTTTTCATTACGAACTTCGGTCTGACAATCTGATACGCTTTAGAGTTCACCTTTTGAGGTCTGTACAATTAGTAATTCACTGTTGGGCTCATGTTATCGAATTCGATAATTTAAGCTTGGGTTTCGACGACTTTAGTCTTAGGATTTTGCTAATCCTCCATGGGAAACTCCACCCGTCACGAAGAGACTGCACCTTACCGTGTCTTAGGATTTGCTAATCCTCCATGGGAAACTCCACCCGTCACGAAGAGACTGCACCTTACCGTGGTGTGGCGGTTTGTGTACCTCGGAAACCCATTGAGCTATACTTGGGGGTGTCCGCGCGACACTCACAGAGTCTCTCATACCAGGTTGGTCAATGGTTAGAGGTCTGACGAACACAGTCTCCTGGCCCTCCAGGTTGGGGGTTGGAACATGTGGCGACTTGTTCCGTAGAAATGGTAATGCATTTGCATTTCCCCGCCAAACACCGCTACCTTGCGGTTAGGCTTTTGAGCCAAAGGCTTTGGTTGAGGACACTAATCGTCCTTCTGTCTAGGTGTGGGCGCCCTGACAGTATCCCAGCCCTCGTACAACCATACGGCAGTGAAGCATCAGTACCAACACTGATGTTGCTGTCTTTGATGATCATGATGAAACGCGCCCAACCTACCCATATTTCGACAAATTGACAGCCAATAATTTTGTTGTGCAAAATTGGTTCTCTCCGCTAGGTAGCTTATGTTTGGTGCTTTCGTCGGGGAACTCGCTTAAGAATTTTCGGTGTCTTCGTTTTCGATATTTTTAAACCCAGGTCGCACGTTGGCCGGAATCCAACAGCATCCTATTGATAAGCCTTATTAGAAGTAAATGGTCTCATTTAGCTAATTCAGACTTTCGTGATTTGCCTAGCTACCACAGTAAGGATGGTTCCGCTTTGCAAATTTGCGGAAATACCAGCTACGGCACCTTGAATAGCGTATCCACTACCAAATGCCTCAGACTTGAATGGATACACCTACACTCCAGTAAACCCGTCGTGGTCATACATATGGATTTTCATGGAGCATCCATGTCCTCCCGTCCAAGTAGAATCCTTTTATCTAACAGACTTACTGTTCAAATAATCAGAACTGTAAACTACGTGATGGTATTAGTCCTTTTTTATGCATCTGATTGGCGATAAAAATATATTTGTTGTTGATTTCACAACCAGGGTTTTGGGATGCGCGCTAATGTAGTTCGCACAACTCTTATTACGACCATCTGTGAATTTTAGATATCCGCCTCTCTTGGCCTGGCATCCTCAGAAATAACAGGTGTCAACCAAATTCCAGGTGTACGATAAATATGTACAAACTACTGGAATTAAATAAAAATTATCCATAGATATCTCTTTAAATGTTACATAGGCATGTTTTGTACATTTCTTGCCAATTCATCAAGTTATTGCCTAAA